GCCGCCCCGCCCGGCCGCTCCCAGTCCCCGGCCCCGTTCGGTCCCGATCCCCCTCCCCCCGCACCCGTTGGTCGGGGCCCCTTCCCTCCGCCCTGGACCCCATCTCCCCCCAGGAACCTCCTCCCTCGGTCTGGTCTCCCCTTTTTGGCGCCCACACCCCCGGGCTTGCCTGGGGCTCCCCGGGCCCCCAGACATGGGGCCTTTGGCGTGGGACGGACCCGCCTCGGGCCGGGCTTCCGGGCCGCGTGCGTTTGTGTGGACGCGCGGTTGCTGCCGCCGCGAGCGCGCCTGACCCCCTTTCCTGGGGCCCGGGTGTCCCGGGGCTCCTAGGGCCTGGGGTCCCTCGGCCACCAGCTCCTGGCGCTGGCCCAGGGCGGGTCTGTGGCTCCCCTGCCCCCGTTACTTTTATGGGGGGGGTGCAGAAACGAGGGCGTTTCCGAGTAGTGATTGGAAAACGCTTGACTTTGACATTAGAATTGGGGCGATTTGATGCCTCTGAGTTTTCCTTGCAGAAACTGTCAAAAGACCAATTTGGGGACATCCATGATGCAATGAAGCTCCAGGGGCGTGGGAAGGTGCAGGGCCAGGGGAATGCTCGGCGCCTTTGTGGGGGGCTGGTCAGGTTCCGGGTGAGGGCATGGGCGCTGGCAGGCGTGCTTGGGGGGGTGCGGGGCGCGGGTGCCAGCCTGAGCGGCACCCCCGGCCCCTGCGCCCACAGCCCATTCCGCGCCTTGCAGTCGGTCATCCTGCCCGTGCACGACGCGGCTCCCTGGCTGGACGCCTGCCTGAGGTCCGTGCTGCAGCAGGACTTCCGGGGCCCCCTGGAGCTCTCGGCCTTCGACGATGCCAGCAAGGTACCCTGGCGCGACCCAGGGCCAGGGGCACTAGCAAAAGGAACGCCAGGCCCTGCACGTCGCCGTGGCCGGCGGGCCTGCTCTCCGTCGGGGGCGGCCGGCCCAGGAGCCCCTGCCTGGGCGTCTTGGGCACCCACCGCTGCTCCAGCGGGAATGGGGCGGTGACTCCGGGGGGGCTGTGCCCGCAGCCACCCGTGTCTCCCTCGTGCCCCTTGGCTGTGTCCCACTGCCGGACCCGGCCGGCGCCGTTTCACCCTGGGGTGCACAGGAGACTGTCCCAGCCATTCCGGTGCCCATCACGGATGCTGCTTCCTAGCCCTGTTCCCCTGGCGCCGGGACCCCAACTCCACACAGCCGTCGGTGGGGAGGCCCGCGCGGGGCAGACTGCAGCCGGTGGTCAGCCCCGCGCCTCTCGTCTCCTTTCGCGGTGTCCAGCTGGAAGGACAGGCTGCTACGAGCTGGCCAGAGAGGCCCCTGACTGCCGTGTCCCTGTGCTCTCAGGACGGCTCTCTGGCCATCATCCAGGACTGGAGAGTGAAGCTGGAGGACGCCGGGATCCGCGTGGTGGTCGGAGGCCACGATTCCCCGTCTCCCCGAGGAGGTCGGTCCGGGGGCCCTCGTCTTGCCCTGGGGTGCGCGCCGGGAACGGCAGCGTGGGGCCGCTCGGGCCCTGCTGGCCCGGACGCCACCAGGCCTGGGCTTCTGGTCCGCTGGCAGGGGCTGGCGGGCTGCTGGAGTCCTTCCGGTTCTCACACTTGTGCCTGAGGCACGAGCCCTGGCCAGCGACAGCTGAGTGCCGCTCCCGCCGCCGCCGCCCTTTCGCCTCACCCGCTTCGGCCGGCCACCCAGCGGCGTTTCGCGTCCGCCCGTCCGCCCGCCCGGGGCTGGGCCCCGTGTACGCTCCGTGGCTGCTGGCCTGGGCCGAGGTCCGGCGTCCACCCTCTGCCCCTCTGACCGCGTAGTGCTTTCTTCGGCTCTGACCTGCGCTTCCCTTCTCGTTTCCTGGTCTGAGTGCGCCGAGTTGCTGCTAGTGAGCCGCAGCCTGCGACAGTCTAGCGTCGCCGCTGGTAGCCCACGGGCGGGTCGCAGATGCCGTGTCGCGTCGGCTCGTCTTCGGTGTGCGGAGCTCTTAGACCGGAGGGACCAGGCCCGCGCGGGCTGGCGCCGGCGCCTGAGTGGTCTTTCCGCGCCCCTCCTGCAGGCGGCTCCGCCTTCTCGGACCCGGGAGCGGCGGCGTTTCGCTTCCGTTTCAGTCTTGGGGTGAACAGAGCTTCCGTTACCGGCCTAACAGTGTATTTATTACTCGTGTGTCGTTTCATACGGTTGATTTCTTAGAAAGATTTATTTCCACTCACAAGAACTGGGGTACAGGCAGAGGTGCGGGGCGGGTGGTGAGGGACTCCCAGAGGCAGAGTGGGGAGCAGAACAGCCGCCTGACTGAAACCCGCTGCTGGGGGGCGGTGGGGAGACGGGGGTGGGGTCTGCTGCGCCCTGTGGCCAGGGCTGAGCTCATGCTGCCGGGTGCGGGCCGGACGTGTCGGGCGCCGTCGGGGAGGCCCCGAGCAGCTGGTTCTTGACAGAAGAAAGAAGTCAGCGCTCGGAGAACGTCCCCCACGACCTCAGTGTGTTGCTGCCAGTTTGGGTTTGAACTGGAGGAACTTCCCGGGGCCAACCTTTGCCGCCCAAGGAGCTCGCTGCAGTCGTCTGGCAGGAAGGCGGCGGCTCAGGTCTGGGCTGCCCGCCTCGCCCTTCGCTTCGGGGGTGCTGGCCTGCGCCCCCCTCCGCCTGCCCCGTCCCGGCCCCACTGGCGACCCTGTCAGGGCCACGCCGGCCCCAGGGACAGGCGCCGTGTCCGTCACGGCCCGTGTCCCTGACACGCACGTCTTCCTGCTGCCCTGCTTGGCGTTCGTCGAGCTTGTGGGGTGTGCGGACGGGTGTGAGGTCCGGCCAGCCTTCCCCTCCTCCCGGCGCCTGCTGCGCGTGGCCGGAGCTGCCTTCTCGCCTTTCGCCCTGGTTTGCAGCCAGTCCGAGTGGCGCTCACTGCGGGCGCAGGCAGGCGGCTCCGAGCGGCGCTTCTCCGTCAGCCCGCAGCTGGGCTCCCTGTGCCTCTGCCCGGCTGCGGCCCCCTTCCCCGCTGTCCACCTTCTCGGCTGGCCTGGGCGCGCCCTCCAGACCTGGCCCCGGTGTGCCTGGAGCCCCGTCGCGCAGGCCAGCCGGTCGCTCCCCCTCAGCCTCTGCGAGCCCCCCACACCCTCACCAGCACCTGTGGCTTCTGACTTCCTAATGCGGGGCCTCCCCGAATGTGGCCGGGGCCCCCCGCACGCAGCTTGGCTCCTGGGCACAGCGAGCTGACCGCGCACCCCGCACGTGGCTCGGGCAGCGCCTGATCGGCGTCTGCCGCTTTGGGGGTGTTTTGTTCTGTGGAGCCGAGTTAAGTGGGCTCTTCACACCCTCCTGCGATCGGCCCGCTGTCCCCGCCCCGAGCCGCCTGGCCTGGCCTGGCCTGGCCTGCCGCCGCCTGGAGCCTTCGGCTGGCGGCCCCCCGGCAGCTTCGTCTCCCTGCCACGAGGACAAGGCCTCAGGGCGCCGCCAGGCTTGTGCTGCAGCCCAGCCGGGCTCTGTCCCGGGTCTGGGGTTCCGGGTCTCACGTCGTCTGTCCTCCGCGTCGGGTCAGCCCTCTCGTGCGTGGGGCTCCCGGCCGCTGCGTCCTCTGCGTGGACAGCCGCGTCCCGGCCCCGTGCGGCG